GGAGGATTGCTGTGAACTTGAGACTAGCCTGAGCGACAATGTGACTTTATGGCCAGCGTGAGGTGCATAGCAAGACCCTGTCTCAAAAAGAAAAAAAAAAAAAAAAAAAAAAAGGGGGGGGTGCAGGGAGGAGAGATTTACCTCTGTCTGAAGGACCTGGGTTCACTCCCCAGTACCATTAGAAAAAAAGAAAATGCAAAGGCTATGAAATGGTCCCTGTGGAGCCCCACACCCACCAGTGCTGCTGCTTCTCTCCCCAGCATAGCTCTTTAAGCAGCTGTGAAGCTCTTCATTCAATGAACCTCAGTTTGCTCACCTGTACAATGGGATAATGGGTCCAATTTCATAGAGAGGAGTAAAGAGATCATCTTTGTGAAAACATAAAGTACATAAGGCCTGGCACATAAATGCTCCACTAATGGTTGCTTTGACAATGCTAGTGAGGTCTACATACGCTATTTAAGCAACCCCTCTGAGCAAGGCGCTGTGTCTTACAAATTGTATCCAAACCATCCTTAGCTGCAGCCCTTTCCCCACTCCCATTTGCCAAGGCAGCCCCAGGTGCCTTGGAAGAATGATGCACATCTTCGGAGGCCTAAGGAAGAAGCACAGTGCCCATCTTCCTCGCCTGGCCTCCTGGCATGAGCCCTGCACAACCGTCACCAGATCCTTGGGTCCACTGCTGATCTCAGCGGAACGCTGGCCTTAGGACACCAACATGGACTGTTCCCTTCTTGTGGTCCTGCTGGCCTCCCTGTATCGCTGACCCCTCATTCTCAATGGCCAGGGACCTTACAGCTCACCTATTCTTAAACTTTGGCCTCTACCAAGAGACACAAGGATGCTAAATATCTCACACGATTTCAGGAGTGCTCAGATCCTCTGGAGCCATGCTGGACCACAAGGACCTCTGACCCAGTTCAACTGCTACTTTCTTTCTCTGTTTTTTTGTTTTGTTTTGTTTTTGAGACAGGGTCTTCATGTGTAGTTCAGGGTGGTCTTGAACTCACTATGTAGCCCAGCCTGGCCTTGAACTCCTGGCAATCCTCCTGCCTCAGCCTCCTGAGTGCTGGGATTACAGGCTTGTGCCACCATGCCTGGCTTTTTGTTGTTGTTGTTGTTTGTTTGTTTTTGAGATAGGGTCTCACTTTGTAGTACAGGCTGCCCCCCAACCAGCAGGGATCCTCCTGCCTCAGCCATCCTGAGTGCTGGGATAATAGGCACCACCACACCAGCTTTCAATTGCCAATCTTTACAATAGCTTCTTTCCTGTTGCCGGTTGTGGTACATGCACACCTGTAATCTCTCTTTTTTTTTTTTTGTCTTTTTGAGACAGGGTCTTGCTATGCAGTTCAGGCCGGCCTTGAGCTCACTTTGTAGCCCCGGCTGGTCTTGAACTCACAACGATCCTCCTGCCTCAGCCTCCCAAGTACTAGGATTACAGGTGCACGCCACCACGCCCCGCTCCACACCTGTAATCTCACCAGGCCCTATCTTTGTTGTTGACAGGGAGAAGCACATCCCCTGCCCCACTGCCCCCTGTTATGATTTAGATCTAGGCTGTCCCAGAAACTCACTTGTTCAGAGGTTTAGGCCAATAGATAGTGAGTGACTCACCAGTGGGTTAGGATGTCGGGCCAGGTTGGAAGAGGTAGCTCCTGGGGTCCTGACGGGGAAGGGCCTGTCTCCCTCCCTGGCCCCTCCCTTCACCCCCTGCTTCTTGGGATGAGCAGCTGTCCTCCCCCACCCCTGCCCAGGGCCTTCCACCCTGCCACTTCTGCCTTGGAGCTTGCAATGGCGGACTGAAAATACGAGCGAGAATAACCCTCTTCTCCTGTAAGCTGTGGGTGTCCGGCATTCGGTTCTAGCAAGGGGAAAATGACTGGGACACCCCTGCCCAGGCCTAGGCCACGATCCCCTTTGTCCTGCCACAGTCCCTAACTGTCTCCCTGATTTTTTGTCTGGTCAATTTTTTTTTTTTTTTCCTGGGACTGTGAATCGAACTCACAACCTTGCACTTGCCCAGCAGGCCCTGTGCCGCTGAGCTAAATCCCCAGCCCTTCTTTTTTTGGCGGGGAGCCTGTTTGAGACAAGGTCTCACTATGCAGTTCAGGCTGGCCTTGAGCTCACTTTGTAGCCCAGGCTGGTCTTGAACTCGCAACAATCTTCCTGCTCAGTCTCCTGAGTGCTGGGATTACAGGTGTGTGCCACTACGCCTGGCATGATTTTTTTTTTTTTTTGTCTCAACTCCACCGCTACCTATTCTACAGCTCAGGAATCGGAGGGAATCTGTTTAAAACCCCAGTTGAATCTCTGTTCGGCTCATCGCCTTCCAGTAGCTCCCAGTCCAGACTAAAAACCCAGAGCCTTTCTCGCAGCCCTTGCAGCCAAAGGAGCTCCGTGCTCTATGCCAGCTCCTCTTCTGACTTTATCACACTCCCTTCCTGCCTCTCACACACCTAGCACTCTCCTGCCTCAGGACCTTTGCATGGGCTCTTCCCTTTAACTGCATCATTCTCCCCACAGGCATTACCATTAAAACAACAACAAAACCCTTCCTGTCACAGAGGCTGTGCGTCCGGAGGATCTTGGTCCTGAGGATCTCACAGAAAGCTGCATCTGTTCCCCTTGATGCTTTCTGTCCCGAATGTGCCTTATGTTCCTGCATAGCATTAATCACCTCCTGCCTTACATTTGTTAACCTGTTACCTTCGGTCTCCTTCACTGGAATTTAAGCTCCATAGAGCAGGGGTCCATGCTTTTTGCTCAGGCAGCACATGACAGGTGTTCAGTAGGGATCTATGCAGAGATCCAGGTTCTCCAGCGCATAAGCAGCTTCATCAAGCCATGCTGGTGCCCACCACGCTGATAATCGTGCAATGATATCGGCGGCTAACTTCTCTGGAGCGTTTCCTAGGGGGTAGGGACTTTGGGAACATCATCTCTGACAGGGTCACTGCTTTAATCCTAGGAGTGCAGGATTTGCAGTCAAACGTTCTACCACTGAGCTATAGTCCCTGAGTGCAGGATAATAAGCAGCTCAGAGAAGTCAAGCAACTTTCCCAAAGCGGCACAGGATAGACCGCACCAGAGGAGCAATTCAGGCCACTTGCCTGACTGCAGGGCAGCGCTCTTAAACCTCTAAGCCATGTGTCACAGAAAGAAAAACTACTCCAAATGCCAGCCACCCGGGGAGCTCTGGGCGCCAGGCGTGACCGCGGCCTCCCACGTGCCGGCGCCCCGCCCCACTGGGCTTTGATCTTGGCGGTGCCGTGGCCCCGCTGACCCGCTCGTGAGTTATGGGGGCCTCGGGATCCATAACCCAGCATTCCCGGACTCCCGGGGTCGTCAGGACGCGGCGCCCCGCGTGGTGATGGATGGCTTTGTCGCGATTGGGCTGAGGAGCTCTAGGCCGGCTTCGGACGGGGCGTGGCAACAGGCGGACTGAGTTGTGTGTGCGTGCGTGTGTGCGTGTGTGTGCGTGTGTGCGTGTGTGTGTTGGAGTTGTTGTCTTTCTTCCCAATGGGGGCCGGGAGGGGCTGCCGCAGGTGCGCTGTCGACGGCCAGGTGAGGTGGTGGCGCTTAGAAGGGCCCCCGCACCCCCACATCCAAGAGCGAATTCTCGGAGAACCACCCCCACTCCGCGCACTTTCGGAAGCTACAAAGGCCTGCCGGACGCTCCCCGCCCCGGGCATTTCTTCCGTCCCATTTGACAGCCTAGGCGGAATAATCCTTTTGGGGACCGGCCGGCCCCTGCCCGGCCAGACGCTGCAGCAGCTGAGCGCGCAGCCTCGATTCATTGTTGGGGTCCGCCAGGGACCCCC